AACTGTATGTCAAAGATCAAATATAGGTCAAAATCATACCTGTTTAACAAATACTAAACAGTATTTAAAAATTACAAATAATACTATTTAGATTAAATATCTGATTCTTGTAATTATTTAAAAAATTGTAAAAGCAATATAGTCAAGTCTCTAATGGAATACCTGACCCAAGCTGCCTCCTTTTCACTCACCAAAATATTACTTAGTAACAATTGTCCAATGAAAATGCTCCCTTCAGCACCAACTGGTTAACTATGTATCAAAGAATATACTCATTCATTCTCCCATAAATTTATCTTGGTGTATCTATATAAAAATACTTGTAACAAAGTCTTAAAACTACACTTGAGTATCAACAACCACTGTCAATCTTTGGTAGCAAATCTCATGGCAAGGTCTGTTCTGATCAGAGAATCTTGAAGGTTTTTTAGAAGCTTAGCAACTCTTGAGACTGGGTCATCAAAATAACAGCAATTGAGAACTTTACATACTTTATACATAAGAGTGCAGAATGCAAACGATTAAAACAATATTAGCAACTTTAAAATTTTCTCTTAAGCCATAGGTCATTTCTCTGTTCAGAACCCACGACTGCAACCAGCTCTAACCGGTTCCTTGAGGAATGTGGCTAGGCTGAAATTTTGGAAGTGTTGGCTTTGGTGGTGACCAAGGAGGAAGAAGTCTCTGGCTTCCCTGTTGCTGTAGTTCCCACCCTCCAAAATGAATATACCCACCGGTGTGAATTGATAATGTGGTCCAAAGAGCAAGGCAGGAACGGAGTCCAGATCCTCAAAATGGTAGTACAGGGCATAACCACTAGGCCACCTATCAGTTCAGTACAAAAAGTACAACCCTGTGCATCATGGTGCAAAAGCTGGGGCCTAGGTTTCGCATTGTGCATCTCACACCTATGGAAATAACAAGAGGAGTAAAATCTACAGAAATCAACACACCCTAAGAAGGTGGGTGCTCATAGAAGACCGGTGTCAACACTTTTGCAAAGGTGGTTGGCTGCTAAGATAATGAATGGCAATTACAAGTCCAAAGTTGGAAAGAAACAACCTTTTACAATCAACTCTGTTGAGTTGGACAATAAAGAACTCAACATGGGCTTGATGTTTACCAACAAGGCTTTGCAAATCATGACACCCATCTACATGCTTATCAAAACTACTACCCCACTAAAATCTAACATCCCTCAAGAATAATTTTTAACTCTCAAAGAGTTGGAAAGATTTGGGCCATGAGGAAGGGAGATAATCAGCAATTCCCCAAACCCGTTACTCTCAAGGTCTTAAACGTTCTCTCTTACCATCTGACCTTGGAAAGATATGGTGACACATTCAAAGCTTAAGGTGGAAGAATTGCAGAGAAGGGGAAGTCTGTGTACCAAGGATGTGCCAAGGTGATGTGTCAAGAACAAATGTGGATTGGTCTGAGGGTCAACAGTTTGGAAGAGTAAAAAGAACTTCTAAAATGTAGGGTGGATTCTTTAAAAGAAATAAAATCACTGCTCTTGACTCACTTAATCTTTCGCCATGTTGCTGTCAGCTCACCAACTAAGTGCGAGAGTGTGTCTTGCTGGGTCCATTTTCCCATGGTCTGTAGAAGGCGCTGTGAAGCACATCCTGTTCCAGCTCTGGGGCCCTTCCCCCTTCTGCAGCCTTACCCAGTGCAGGGAATGCGCCCCCTACTGACTCCAACACTCATCGCCTTTAGCCGACTTGGCTGCGGTGCATTTTGGGTGGGGGCTGGTATTTTCTTCATGGCCATAAACCAGAAGCAACAATGCAGATTTATAAAGAAACTGTATCAAGCTACCCAGGAAATTTTTTTCTTTTTCATTTTGAAGGTTCAAGACACTGGCAGGAGAAACATCAGGGATACATTAGGTGTGTGGGGATGGACAGCATTAAAATGGCAAACACAGGAAACAGTTTGGTTCTTCTTCCCTCCTAAGCCTTTGTCTGAGAAATGGGGTTATGGCAAGAACTGTCCAGAGCAATTGGCGGATGCAAGAACATCAAGAAGACTTAGTGTGGGTATGTGAGCGGCCACAAAGGACATCAGACCTTGGCGCCTGGTCTTGGGCAGAAGAGGAAGAGAAGCAATCGCGCCTTTTCCAGCGACAGGCATCCAGGTTGGGGGGGAGGGGAAGGCAGGCAGGCAGCCCGGAGGAAAGAACAGATGATTAAAAGGGTGCTCAAAGAACTACTCCCCATTCATTGCACTGAAAAAAAATCTTTTCGCAGCTTTCTGGATTTCCATTTTTCACCATCTTATTGCAAAGTTGGGGCTCAGAATGCTCGTAAGAGGCCGTGCTGACCAGGCAGCTGCGATAGAGAAAGGGGGTGGGGGGCTCGGTGGTCAGGACAGGAGGAGAGCTGCACGGTGGGGAGGAAGGATCGCACCGGGAAGCAAAGACTTTCACTCCGTGCCTTACATGCTCCCCGCCCCCCAATCTGGCCCCCCTCCCCCAGCCAAGGGTGGGCAGACCTGGCAGCAGGCCGGTCCCAGGCACTGAGGTGCGCGTGGGGGGGCTCCTTTTGGGGGGGCGGGAGGCAGGGATCAGCTCCAGGGATGGGAGAAGCTCGGCTCTCGCTGGGGGCGGGGTGGAGGGCGATGCCATCAGCGGCCAAAGCTCGGGTGGCCGGGCCGGCCGCTGGCCCCGGCGGGCCGGCGGGGCGGGGACGGGGGTCGGGCTGC